TCCAGCTTGGAGCACGCTCAGGGGTGGGCCTGACCACAGATCCCTATAGTCTACACTGCCCCTCCTTGGCACTCCTGGAAAAGAACTACCCTCGCCCAGCTTTCTGGGGTGACCATGTCCGTGGACTCTGTGGCCATCCCTCATGCTTGCCTGTTCAGGCCCGGGGCAAGGTGCACAGGGACCTGAAAGTCTTCTGCCTGTGCCCCTGGAAACAGTCCCTTGGCCGTCCTGGGGGCCACTCCACGTCCTGTCCCGCCTGGTGCACCTGCTTCCAGCCACAGCACAGCACCACCACCTAGGACCCTTGAGGGGAGACCTCCAGCCTGCTGCACTCAGGCACGCCCTGCCTGGGTATCACCAGCTACATGGAGCTCCCAGCTCCAGGTGGGAGCTCTTAGCATTTGGGAATGGCCAGCCAGTCACTGTTGAAAGCACTCTGCATGTTCATGGAACACGCAGATTATAAAGAAAACCCCACTATTTCAAAAGTCAACTTACAGCTTCCCATTTCATGTCCCATGAACTTTGGAAGTCCCCTTGTATACGCTAAGTCACTCCTCATCGCAGCCGGCTCCTGTCACCTTTGTACAGATCAGGGAATGCCGGCAGAGGGCCTAAAGAGTTGGCCAAGCAACTCAGCCAGGAAGGATGGCCGGTAGTGCTCTCAGCCATGGCTTGGTGCTGAAGGAATACTGGAGCTGGGTGAACTTAAAAGAATCCAAGCTGAAGAATCGAACCACTTCAGAGAGACACAAGTGCCGTAAACAGTATTCTCAGAGAGAGGTAGGATGCTCAGATATTGATAACAACGCAAATGGCGCAGTCTGGAGACCAAACATGCAGCTTCCTTGCAATAAAAAGCGAAAGCGAGATTTGCACAATAAAGAGGGAGTCCCTAACAGGATAATTACTGTTGAGCACGGAATTAATGAAAACACAAGTTCACTGGCATGATGAAAAGAGAATAGAGAGTTTTCAAATCACAAGAAGCAAAACAAAGCCAATAATCAGATGCGCCGACAACAGGAAACGCTAAAAATCAGAGCAGGCAATAGAGAAGCGTAAATACGTTGCTGAAGGGAGGCGCCGTGTGCATCACGCAAGGGGAGTATAGAACCCTGCACCCTTCAGATTTTTAAATATCCACAGAGCCCGCATAAAACAAAACAGCTCCACAAAGTTAAAAAAAAAAAAGCACAAAGCAATAAAAATGAAAGTCACAAACAAAAGAACATACACAATCTGTGACCACATAGCAACTTGTGCAAATTCTCAGGCATGGGTCATTCTGCGTAAACCAAACTGCGAGGTTAGAAATGAACGCAGCTGAGCCCTCCTATCAGAGACAGACTCCCCCAACCCAAGTGGTCTGGAAGCCACAGAGACAGCTCCGTGTTCTCCTGTCGGTCTAAGCGGTAAAGACTAGGAGGGCCAACAGTATCTGGTGAAGCTGCACGTGGGGCCACAGGCCTTGGCACAGCCTTTTGGTGGGCGTGGTCACTGCCATAATATCTGGATGGCCATTTTATAAACCAAAGTTTCCTCTTAAGAAAATTTCCCAAGGAAGGAATTTCACAACGATCCGAAGGCTGTTCACTGGAGTGCAGAACGGAAGGGAGCCACTTTCTCACCAGGAGGTGGTTAAATCAGCCACGGCTGTGTGTACCGCGGAGTTCTCTGTTGCCATCCGAGAGGAGAGGGCGGATCTATACATATTGACAAAGTAAGATGATGATAGATGATTAAGTGGTAAAACAAAGCGCAAGTGCCTGAGCCACGCAGAGAGATGCCCTTGTTTTAGAAGTCACACTCATTGCATTTGATTTATGCATATTTCAGCGCAAGCAATTTCTCGAAGAACAAGGAGGACAGGTGGCTGTTGGTGGTGACCTCACGCGGGGAGGTGGAAGAATACAGAGTGAGTCTGCAGGGGCTCCCCACAGCTACTTGATAACATTTTGTTGAAGTTTTGAAAATGAGTATTTTCATACTGAAAACTCTATAAAGATAGTCCTGAGGATTCAAGCAAAAAGCAAGGGGTGGAGCTGTTCATGTTTATTGAATTCGGAGTCTTGCAACTTTGCGGCTGGTTGTCCCCATGGCACGTGGGCAGGAAGGAAAGAGTGAGGGTGGGGGGCAGAGAGAGAGAGAGAGGGAGAGGAAAGGGAAGGAGGAGAGGGAGCTGGCCCAACATGAGGGCATGTGTGCAGGTGCAGGCTGCGCCCCCTGGCGGGGATGGCCGGCTGGGGGTGGGTCTTGCCCCACCAGGCTGTCTGCCAGCAGCTCTCAGGCAGCTGGAGGGGCACCTCTGCTGCCTTGGCATTATCACCTCCATAGCGGCGGCTGTGGCTGAGGGTTCCTCACATACACTCCTGTGCCCCATGATTTCACGTTTCTGGCTCTGCTAGTCTGGAGTAGGTATTTCCTGTGTCTATTTTGCCCTTTTCTTCTGAAGGTGAGGGAGGGCGGGGCCTCCTGTCCCTTCACCGGCACGTCTATCATTCTCACAGTGGAAATGCGGCTTGCCCCTGCCCAGAAATCTCCTTGCTTCTCTCTCTGCCTTCCCCGTATCCACGGCTCCCCACTCTGCTCTGCCGGCCTCCACCTCGGGTCCGAGACCTGAACCCTGTGAGAAGCAGCGCCACACCCCTTAGAGGTGCTCATGCGGCTGCACCCTGGGCAGCGTGGTCTTCTCTCGGCAAAGCATTCAAGGCTGAGGCATCATGACTTGTGAGTGATTCAGCAAAAAAGGACAACGGAAAGACAGAGAAGGAAGAGGGAGAAGGCAGGAATGGCAAAACGCTAGCAATGGCTGCGTGCAGGTGGCAGCTGCAGGTGCCCGGTGTGCATGTCTTGCACCTATCCCGTATGGTTTATGCATCATTGCCCCACACAGCAGGGAGGAAGAGAAGAAAACTCAACTTCTGCACTCACCGAGGAGAGGGAGGTCAGCCGGTGTGACTGCTCATGCCCCATTGGTCCCCTCTTGTCCATCCGCACCATCACTGCTGGATTCAGCCAGCCGCATGTGGGAGCCAACTCCTCATTGGGCTGCCCCTTTTTCCACAAAGCAGCCAGGTAATATCCAGGCACTGCATCTCATCCCTGGCCCTCCATGCCCTGGCCACTGCCAACTCCACCCATCGCTGGTGACCGTGTAGCCACGTGGTGCCATGGAGCCACTGCCAGCTCAGGCCTCCTCTCCCAGGAAGCCTCTTGTTCCTGCCAGTGTCCCTCCTTGGTGACACACTGTCACTGTCCCTCAGGGCTTGGCTCGAGGTTCACCGTTCCTGGTGTTCATGCCAAAGTTATTGACCCACTGGTCATGTAACTACCTTTATACCCGGGCCCTGCTTCATTCATTCATTAGCTCCTCAAACACCTGTGCTAGGAACGGGGAGACTTGCAAAGATGAATTCAGTTAGGGACACAGGTTAAGGTCACGATGGCCCTGACAGTTGGGATGTGAGGTTTCGCTACAGGTGCCACAGGTGGCCTCTACCAGGACAGTGAAGGGACAGATATGCTTCCAGAAGGTCACCCCAGCAGTGGGGTACAGGAGAAATGTGTACCTAGGAACTCATCCCCATAACCGTGCAAGGCCCCTATGAAACTGCTAACGTCATTCTGCACATGGTTTAGCTCAAAAAATACACTCGGCAAACACACACTGCATTTCTTTAACTGAACTGAGTCTCAGGACATCACACACCAGTGAATACATGCACATCTACGTCCCTGCAGCAGCAGGTCCGGTCGGCTAGGTCCTCCTAACTGCAAACTCTCGAGGGCACAGCTACAATTGCAGCTGCACTCCCAGCTACGCTCTGCCTTTCCTTGGCTCCCCGCTGTTGCAGCCCCGCAACACTTCCTTCTGGGATCACTGCACAGACTTCTGACAGTTGCCTTCCCATGGCGGACCAACCCTGTTCAAGAACCTCCCCTGGCTCCTTCTTACTTACTGGCATTTAAGATCTCCCATAACCAGGCTACACTCTAACCCCATCTCTCTCACTCTGATCCACACACATCTTCTCCAGTCAGACTGTTTCCTCCCCAGGTCCCTTGTCGGATCCTCTTTTCCCGCCTCTACTCACACTGCTAGTCCAACCTGCTGTTCTTTTCTTATCAGTCACCTCAACCACAGCTCCAGGCCCTGCTGTTGGCCAACACCAAGCAGAGTAGCAACACTGGGCTCGTGTCCCAGCTTTCTGATTCCCTGTGCAAGCTCAGACATGCTGTGTATGCGTCCTCATGGAATCTCGCTGCTCTCATCTATAAGATGGGGAAAATAATAACAACGTCCATTCGATACTAGGGCTCATGAATACCGCTGCCCATCAACAGGGCTATTGTGAAGTTATGAAGGCAGGCCCTGTGCTCAGCAGGTGGTGACATTCCTTTCTCCTCTGACTCCAGGAAGAAGTTCCTGTTAGGCAGGTGCTCACGTGGGAAAGAAGTGGTATTTCTGAAGGAATAAACAATCAAGTTGCAGACACTGCAGGGTTTTCGTTTTCAATCCCTCCATCAGCCAAAAACACAAGCATTTTCATTCTCATTTTTACAGACGAGCAAACTCACACTGAGAAAGGGAAGCCGTCAGCCCAGGATTCTTACCATCAGAGAAACGTGCAGTGACCACTATTTAATATGTTCCAAGCACTACACTGGGTACACTGCATGCAGTGCCACATTTCCACGCTTTATCCGAGACTCACACTCTGTGCAAGAAGACAGTGAGGCGCAGAGAGGCTAGGGCCTTGCCCCAAATCCTGCCCACAGTCAATGGAAGGGCTGGTGTTCTAACCCAGGCCACCAGTGACTCTGCTGTAACAGTGCTGTGTAGACTGCGAATTGTCTGGATTGGGGAAGTAGCCATTGGAAGTTGAGACTGACCTTTCTAGGTTCCCCATGGGACCAGCCCACATGACCCTAAGAGCTTCCATGGGAGGTCAGCAGGGCAGGGCAGGGTGTTAGCAGCAAGGCCTGGTGACACTTACCCAATGGTGCAGCCGGCATCTGCTTCGATGATCCAGATGCAGTTGAGATTGTGTTCATAGGGAGCTGGATACCCGGGTGACAGCACCTGCCCCGACACCTCTCCTTTCACTGTCCCTCCACACTCAGCTGAAAGAAATCCCAAAAGAGTGAGCTGCATGGGGTGACCTGCGCTGCCAGCAGTCCGTCAGTGTCTCCTCTTGCCTGCGTGCCCGAGTCCATCTTGTCCATCCCACAGGACAGAGCTTAGCATGTGCAGGGGTGCCTGGATGAGGCTCGTATCCAGAACCTATGAAGAGCTTTTACAACTTGACAATAAAAAGATAAATGACCCAATTAAAACACGGGCAGAGGACCTGAACAGACATTTCTGAAAAGAAGATACATGAATGGCCAACAGGCACATGAGAAGGTGCTTCATATCATCAGTTATTATGGAAATTGCATCAAAACCACAATGAGATGCCGCATGATGGTCACTCGGAGGGCTATGGTGAAAAAAGACAGTAACAGGTGCAGGTGAGGATGTGGAGAAAGCAGAAACTTTTACATCACTGATGGAAATGCAAAATGATGCAGCTGCCTTGGAAAATGATTTGGTAGCTCCTGGAAGCATTAAGCATAGCTACCATATGACCAGCAATTCCTCTCCTGGGTCTATATCAAAGAGAGATGAAAACATATGTCCATGCCAAAACTGGAATGTGCACGTTCAGAGCACCGTTATTGAGAATAACCGGCAAGTGGCAGCAACCCAGATGCCCATCAAGTGAAGAATGAGGTCTACCTACACCACAGAATGTTAATCAGCCAGAGGAAGGAATGAGGTGCTGATACAACACAGATGGGTTTTGAAAACATTGTCGGAAGTGCGGGAAATCAGGCTATCCTGTGTGTGTCCACAAAAGACCACCCATGGTGGGATTTCATCTATATGAAATGGCCAGGACAGGCAAATCCATGGAGATAGAAAGGAAAGTAGTGGTTGCCAGGACATGTGGGGAGGGGACATTGGGAGTGACAGCTAAAGGTCCTGAGTTGTACACATTAAATGAGTGGACTGTATGGCAGGTGAATGATGTAACAAAATGAAGGTTGCTGAGTGAGGGTCTGACTTCCTGTTCTATGGCCAAATGCCTCACAACCTCCCAGGAAAGATCATGTGGGTAACTTGGACTCGCTCATAGATGGCAGGAGCCAGAAGAACAGAAGTCAAGGAGATACCCCCTTTTCTACAAGCGTTCACCATCCAGTGGATGCCGTGTGCCTCCACGGGCACAATCGTGACAAGTGGCGGCCAGAGGATGAAGTGACAAATCTCCCCCAGCATGGAGCATGGAGAGTGCAGGAGGACCTGGTTTCAAATGGACCTCAAGGTAGGAGCAAAAGTTGATTAGGCTGGTTGGGTAGCTGGGGTGGGATGGGGGGTAGGGGGCAGAGGGCATTGCCGACAGAGAGGACAGAATGCACAAAAGTCCTGGAGGTGTGGGACAGTGTGGCAGGCTAGGGGACAGGGTATGAACTGTGGAGAGGTGGCGGCCAGGGCCAGCAAGTCGGGCAAGCAGTACACGTTGAGGCGGCATCGTCTGTAAGCTTGCTGGCCATTCACTGTTACGGGTGGGACCTGCATGCTCACACCTGTGAGTCGTTAGTGGACACAGTGAACAGCAGCATCTGAAGGGTACAGGGAGACCAGAGCTGAGATCTCTATGCCCCATCAGAACAGCTACCCTGTGAGGGAAGCTGGTGGCTCCTCCTGCCCTCGGCCCCTTCTCCCACTTCCGCTCTGTAGTCCTGGCTTTGGCCCTCACCCTCAGCAGCGCCACCAGAGAGATACACAGCAAATGCAGAAGTGCCACTGCCTGCTGGAGCAAGTGCAGTCCAAACTACACAGTGCTCATGGAACCCTCCAGAAGGGCTCCCGCTGTCCTCCCTGGCTCCTTCCCTGAGCCCCTCATCCAGCCATGTCTCATAAACCCCACAAGCCCAGGCTGCCCTTTCATGCACCTGCCTGACATCCTGCCTGTGAAAGCTGTTGTGACACTCCTTCCCCTCCAGGGGGAGCTGACACTGTCCTTTCGTTGCTGTTGTTGCTCTTCCATTATAACACGGACAGATTTTTATCATATCATGTGTGCCACGTTGTTAAAATCATGCTGTCTCCTCCACAGGACATATACCACTTCCTGGGCACTGGCTGACCCAAACTGGACCTTGCGTTTCCCATGCTGCACGTCGAGTGCCGAGCACCGTGTTCGGCACGCTGCTGAAGCTTAGTTACCTCTTCTGGAATGAATGTGTGGGTGGATGAACGAATGAATGAGGGAAGTTTGTTGGGAGCTTGAGTGCGAGTGAAGAGGAGAGGTGCTGCAAAGCTGTTTGGGAGAGGGCGTAATTGATTAAGCAAGGTTCTCAAAGAAATTAGACAGGACGAGATTAAAGTCACAGGAAGACCCATCGAGAATTTCACGGGCCCCATGGCTTCACACAGGGGCCACAAGCAGGGGCAGGGGAGCGAGCCCCCTACCAGTGAGGGTACTCAGGAGATCGGATTCTTTGCTCAAGCCTGGCCGTGAGCCCTCCCGCCTGGTGCTCCTGGGCAGGTGGATGCCAATCGGACAGAAAGGCAGCAGGCTGAACGGGCCTACAGTAGAGAGCAGGGTGAGTGAGACACAACGAGCTACAACTTTGAGGATGATGTCGTTCTGGCCCCAGAAACAGGGGAGGGGGCTGCTGAGGGGGCCTGTCCCTGGTTACGGCTTCCTTGTGGATTCTAGAAGGAGCGGCACCTCCTCTCCCCAGCATGTGTTTGGAAGCAGCAGCACTGGGGGCCCTTTGACAAGGACACCTCTGCTTCTTTCCCCATGGAGTCCTCTGTCTGGCAGGTGGGCAGGCAGGACTGGAGGACTCTACTCTTTCCGGTCTTCTCCCTTCTTCCCATCCTGGAGCCTCGGCTGCTCTGTGTGGGTGGCAGAGTCTGCTTGGCAGCGTTTGCCTGTTTTGGCCATGCCAGTCACTCCTGGTAGCCCACGGTGAAATCCACCACCACATGGCGTTACGTAAAAATACACACATTACTCCCCAAACAGCCGTGGGGCCAGAGGGAGTTTCAATGGGGAAGGCCTCCAAGATTCAGAGTATAAATATTCTCACAGACACCGCTTGAGCGGGTCCTCTAAGTCCAGGCCAGCTGGCACATTTGCTTTGCAAAGCGAGCGCACAGTGAGTCCTTTTGCAGGGCACACTGCTATCTTATCACGCGAAGCCTCATCGTGCTCTGGCGGGGGTGCCTGTGGCACTACACTGTGGTCTGGCGACGCAGGAACCTGCCTGGCTGCTCCTCCTCTGTGTTCCCAGGGCCTCGCAGGGAGCCTGGCACATGCAGGAGAGAAGGGGACAAGGAGCAACAGAGGGAGAAAGGGAAGGGATGTGCCTGCAGCCTGGGTGAACCTCAAGGGCAAGGGCAGAGGAAGAGCGTGGGGGCTACTGAGAGGCCCCTACTCCGGTCTGTTCACTCTCAGGCTGAAGATCCTTGCCCTGAGACCCTCTGCTGAAAATCAGCACTGGGAGTTCTGATCAAACACAGGCCTCTGGGGGAAAAGGACAACGACGGCCATGGGCACTTCCCACCGCGCGGATGCATCCTTGCCTGTGCTCAGGCTGGAGCGTCCACCTCCCCACCTCCTCCCCCGTTGGTGAATCCTTACCCGTTGAAATACCACTTCCTGTACCAAACTTTCTCATACCCCCCCCCCCCCCCCGTCCACATAGCCCCTTTCGTAGGGCTTATCTGCCATGAGAATCATCTGCTGCCCTGTCCGTTCCCCTTGCTGGAGTATGGGCTCTCCAAGGGCATGCAACAGGCTTTGCTCTTTCTCGTCTCATTTATTTGCCCCCCGCACACCCAGACATGCACCTGTGCCTGTTCTGGCAGCCAGGGCTTGGTAGGCACTTCAGTGGTTTCCCAGAGCTTCTGCTCGTCTAAGGTGAGCCAGTGCTGCATGGACCCACTGAGGCTGTGCGAGGTGGAGAAGGGGATGGAAAGAGGCAGCAGGATGGAGCAGGCTGGTGTGAGTCCTAACCTGCAGGGAGGTATGAAGTCCGGAAAACGGAATGACTGCTGTTGCCTATTCCCCACTTCTGCCTTGGCCCACTGCCTCTTGTCCTGTGACAAATGCACGAAGCCCCTGGATGGCCTCTGCTGACATTCCAGAAGAGCCACAGGCTTCAAGGAGAGTTCATCATTGCATTCCCTTTAAAACGTGAGACCAAGTCCTGTTCGCTATCTTCTGCTTTGTTCTAATGCCCCTCCAGAAAGGGGAACACGAGCCCACCCTGCCTACAGGGAGACTGGGACCCAGAATGAGCCAGGGACTTGGGGAGTCTCGGTGTCGCAGCAGACCTGGAATCCAGGCACGGACTCCCCCACTTCTTCTCCATCACCCGCATGATAGTTCTGAGGGTGTGGCTTGGCTGTGGTCCCACTGGCTAACTGCGTGACAATGGCAAGCCACCTCCTGACTGTGCTGCCATGCGGTGTAATGAGGTGTGAAAATGAGGAAATGGAGAAACGGGGCAGGTGAGCCATGATGCCTGTTACCAGGAGGATTCAGTCCAGGGAGATGGCCCCGGACCCTAAAGATCCTTAAGGAGACCGGGGCTGGAGCTCGGGGCTAGAGGAGCCCCAGGGGTGCCTAGAAGAACAAGAAGCCTCCTACCGACACAGGTGGGCAGAGGCCGGTCCCAGGTCCTGCGCTCCCCACTCAGACACAGCAGCTCCTCACTGCCCCGCAGGCTGTAGCCAGGGTCACAGCTGAAGGACACAGAGCTCCCTGCAAAATGACCGCCATCCTGAACCTTGTAGCCAAACTGGGGCGTTCCTGGATCCTCGCATTTGATGAGCTCAAAACCTGGGAATGAGAAGAGAGGCCGAATGAACAAGATGGAAGGAGGCAGAAAGCCAGCGTCCTCGCCTCCCTTGGAGGCCACGTCTTCCAGGAAGACGTCACCACTGTGTTGTCTTGAAGCGTTGATGGCCTCGCCACTTAGGGGTCCCTCCATATTTCTCAGGGGATTCCCCCCCACGTTCCTAGACTAGGTTGAGAGAGTGCTGGGGAGGCTGTGGTCCCCTGTTGATAGATGTAAATGACTTCAGCGTTTAATAGTTTTTCAGGTCTAGGGGCTGCATTTTCTATTTCTTTCGTTGACCCCAGAGCATTCTGCTAGCGGGAGCTGTTCCTTCCATTTTGCTCACTGATGGGGTAGGGTAATATGGAAAAGTCACTTTCAATGCGTGTTTAAAGGCTCAATTACATCCTGCTTAAACATGCTCTGTTGAAAGAGGCTGGAGAAAGACAAGCAGACTCATCTGGAGCTCCTGCTCCATGGTGCCTTGCGTGTGTCCTCTCGTATTTGTTATTCATAGGAGTCTTACGGAGAGGTCTAATTATCTGCATTTTACATCTGAGAGCATGGGCTCAGGGAAGGTTAAATAAATTGTTCCAAACTCACACAGTTTTCAGATAATGGAGATGGAATTCAAGTGAGACGCTATTTAATCCTCTTCCACGGAACCAGCTCTGTAACAGGCAAAGACCCCTCTGTCAGCAGCATCAAGGCCAAGCGAGGGGATCTTGAGTTAGCTCCTTGGGCTGTTTTCCCTGGCAGATTTACTGAGATCTAATTCACTCACTTAGCGTGTACAATGCATTCAATGTCATTCCGTTGATTCACGGAGTTGTGGGACTGCGATCACTGTCGGTTTTAGGGCCTTCCCATCACCATGGGTGGAAGCACCATATGTATTTTCTACCTCTGTCCTGGCAAGTGCTCATTTGCTTTCTGTCTCCTTGATGTGCCTATTCTGGACAGCTCGTGCAAATGGAATCACATAAAATGTGGCCTTCGTGGTTGGGTCTCTCCGTTACTGTAACGTCTGCAAGTATCAGCACTTCCTTCCTTCCCGCGGGCAAACAGTATTCCACCATATGGAGGCAGCACATTTTACTGCCATTCAGCAGCTGACGGAGACTTATTGGATTTGAAAACAGTCATAACAGCGGGGCTGGTGCTGTGGTGTAGTTGGTTAAACCTCCACCTGCAGTGCTGGCATCCCATATGGGTGCCAGTTCAAGTCCTGGCTGCTCTACTTCTAATCCAGCTCCCTGCTAATGGCTTGGGAAAGCAGTAGAAGATGGCCCAAGTGCTTGGGCCCCTGCACCTACATGGATGTCCCCAAGGAAGCTCCTGGCTCCTGGCTTCATATCAGCTCAGCTCCAGCTGTTGCAGCCACTTGGAGAGTGAACAGCAGATGGAAGATCTCTCAGTCTCTGTCTCTCCCTCTATCTTTTGAATAAAATAAATAAACCTTAAAAAAAAAGTCATAAGAGCTCCTTCTTTGGGCATAGTGGAAATGTAGAAGTTCAAATGAATGAATGAAATGGAAGAGCTGGACTTCATGGCCTCCTTGGATGCAAGGAAGACTTACTGGAAAACTGAAGTTCAAAGCCCTTGCTGGTATTTTCAGCATCCGTGATGAAATCAAGCCATAGACTGCTGGATGTGCTGTTCAGAGTCACCCCCATCATCTCTGAGCGGCTGAAGACCCCCAGCAAACGGGCGGAGTTGTTGTTGCCATCATAAACCTGGACACAGGAGAGACCCGCCCCCCCCAACAAACTGTCATCAGCATGGCCTTGTTTGTTTGGAAAAACTTCTTCCCCCGCAGCCCACATCCCCAGAGCCTAGTGCTGACAGCAACTGTCAGAGGGGCTGTGAGTCACCAGATGCGAGCAGAATGGCAGAGTGAAGCCACTACTGAGCAAGTGACATGGTTTCCCCTTGGTGCGCAATCTGCGCCCAGTCCACAGCTCGTGTGAATCTAGTCTTGGGAGCTGGTTGCTATCCTAACCTTTCCAGTGGAGATCTGTGCTTGTTCCCTCAACCCCCATATGGCACCAGCTTACTCTTCAGCAGCCTGGTGGGGGTTGCCTGATGCCCCAAACCATCTGTTTCTGCAGACGGGCAGGCTGAGAGAATTCAGCAATGCTCATGGCTAAACACTCAGTCCCATCTTTCCAGGAGGGGAGACAATCATGCTCCCGCCTGAACCCATCCCACTGGCAGTGGCCTGTGTTGGCCATCCTGGGATCCAGGCAGGATGGGGTTAAAATGACCAGCACATCCCCTTCCCAGAGGAGCCCAGCCTCTGCCACTTCCCTCCTAAAATGAGGTCCCTGGTGAGGGCCTGCTGGGCTTGCCAAGGGTGGAATGGCACAGGCAGCTGGCTTCCCCGATTCCCATCTGTCCCTCTGAACTTCTGAGTGCCAGGAAACACAACAATCATCAGAATAATGAACTGGCTCCCCAGGTTTCGAGGTTGCTGCTCCTTTCTGGATAATTGTACAAATAACAACAGAAGTTGTGACTGAGTGAAAGACCCCCTGGTGCTTTGGTAAATATCAAAGATGGGATCTATGGGTGGGTGATGAATATTTGTGCATGACACACGATGTGGTGCCAGCTGCCAGCAAATTGGAATAATATTTCCATTCCACTACTTATGAAGCACAGCTTTCTAAAAGAAGACATCCTTCAAGCTAACAGCGCTGTATATTACAGAGATTTGTTGAGGCTCCTGGGCACCTCAAATCTGTTTCCAGATTCCATGTGCAATTGCTGTATGTCACCGATAGACTGCGAGAATTCTGGGGTTCCAGCTGACACTGCCGTGACATCAGTTCAAGGAGCTTAGCCCACTGCTGCATCCACGTTGCTACAAAAGCATTCTTACCAATTGAAACATGTGCTGGAATTAATCAATCTTGGCATTAATCATCAGGGCTTGCTAACATTCCAATAAGAAAGACAACCAGATGCCACGTGTGCTTCTTAATGGGAGACAGACCGTCACATAGGAGTTATCGTGCCAAAAAACTCACACCCGATCAGATCAAGACACTGGATCTAATTTCCGGCCCACAGGATACACCAAGGGCAGAGGAACAAATGAAGTGATATCCTGGAAGAGAGCAAGCTACAGAATGTGGAAAAATCCACTGAGCAAATGGCTAGATTTCCTCAAGAAATAAATAACAACGAGGAAAAGAAAAGAGATGGAGGGAAAGATCTTTAGAGTTAAAAAAAAATCTGATACCATGGATCCAACGTGTGGGCATTTGGATCCTGATTTTAAAAACACCATGATGTTTATAGGCTAATTGGAAATTCAAAGAGTCACTGGATATACAGGGGTACTTAGAAATTATTGTTAATTAATAAAAACTATAATGGGAACAGAATTTCTTCCTTAATTCTGAAACATAATTCATTTTAATTCCTTAAGAACAAAAATGTTATTTGTATTTGTCATTACAGTAAAATTTTTATTGCAGAAGAACTTATCAAATATAAACGGCCAAAGAAAGGAGAACAGCTCTCGGCAATCATCACTGTCCTTCTCTGTCTTTCCTTGCACAGAGATCTTAGATTAAAAAAAAAAAAAAAAAAGATTAACTATAGATACTGTGTGGCAATCTATTCTTTCACTTAATAGAATGTGCATATTTTTTTCAAGTAATTGTTTTACATAACAGTATTTAAACAGCTCCAGGGATTTCTACCATACAATTAACCCAATCCATAATATAACTGCCCACATATCAGTGTTCAGTGTATGTGCTCCAGCATATAAGAGGCACTCAGGAAACGTGGGATTAACAAATAAACCAAAGGTTTCTTCTCATATTTTTATCCTTAAACCCACCTGGAATTTATTTTGGTATATGATATAAAAAATTCTATTGGTTCTCCTTGGTCGATAAGTCATTTATCCAAACCCTTTCTGTAACATATTTCACCTACCACCAATTTAAATCCATTTTCATTATAAACCTAATTTAAAGTACTTATTTATTTATTTTACTTATTTGAGAAGGAGAGGGAGGGAGGGAAGGAGGGAGGGAGGGAAGGAGGGAGAGAGGAGAGAAGAAAAGAGAGAGAAAGCGAGTGAGAGAGAGAGAGAAACACTACCATCCACTGTTTTACTCTCTAAATGCCTACAACAACCAGGCCTGGGCCAGGGTAAGCCAGGAACCTAACCTAACAACCATCAGCTGCTGCCTCCTGGGGTCATCTTGAGAACCTGGAAGGGGGCGTGGTGACAGGACGCAAACCTAGGCACTGCAACACGGGATGCAGGGGTTTCCAGTGGCAAACACCCGCCCCACATACATCACTTAGATATAATTACATAAATTTGGTTTTGTCAGTTTTCTATTCTGTCACATTTATCTGTTCCTGCACACAGCCCACAATGTTTTAGCTATTGTAACTTCACCACATATTTAAATATTTAGTAGGAAAAGTCCTTGTTTGTCTTTTAACTTTAAAAATATTCTCCCATATTTATTCTTCCAGATAAACTTGAGAAAAAACTTTCTAGGTCAAAAAAAAAAAAAACACTCCTAAGAAAACACAGCCTGTACAGTTCTGAGTTACATGAAATGTATGGATTGATATGAGAAAGGAAGGTCTCTGTGTGACATGCAGTCTTCTTACCCAGGCACATTCTCTGTGCATTTAATCGAGTTGTCTTTTTACGAGTATGTCTTGGTAAAACTCTGTATGTGTTCCTGGGTATTGCTATAGTTTTGGTTGCTGTTGGGAAGTAGGCCTTTGCATACATTTATTTACCAACAGGATACTGCTTGGAGGTCTACTTCCTCACTCTCTGCAGGTGATGGGAAGGCCTCCAGGAGAAATCCACGGGCCCCTAGGCACAGGCGTTACATGGAACGAGGCGGGCCTGCAAGGCACTGGTCTCCCAGCCAGCATGGCGAGTGCAGCCCTTTCAGCGTGCGCAGTGTTTCTATCATGTTCCTGCAGGTCTGCTGGCACACGTGTGCTCCAGGGCATGCATGTGGCTGGAGAGGCTGGGTGCAGGGGTGGTTAGACAGAACCAGCCTGCTCTACAACGAGAAACACCGAATACTCTCGCTAGCAACGAGCGACGGCTTTCACTGCTTTATGTCCTTGTCAACATTGGTGCGTACAGGCATTATGGTGTTTTCCGATCTGATGGGTGTGAAATGGTACCTCATTTGAATCCACATTTCCTTGATTACCGGCGAGGTTGAGCATCATTTGCTATATTTATCAGCAAGCCTCCTTTCTCTTCTGTGAATTGCCTGTTCATATCCTCTCGGCATCCATGTGCATGGAGTCTCCCGGCACTTACTTTATTGATAGCAGCTTCAAAACCGAGTTGTGTAATTTTCTCAGTAAGGATTACACACATTTTGGGGGAGTTTATTTTTAGGTGTCTTAAAGTTTGTTCTATTATGAATGAGAATTTTCCCCCTGATTACTTGTTTTAATTGGTTGTAGAAATACAAGCAGCTTTGCTGGATTCTTACTGGTTCTGATAGTTGATTAGCACATTCTTATGGATTTTCTAAATAAAACAGGTGATTTTTCTATAATGCTTTCTGATTTTTATAGGGCTTGAGAGAGGGATAATTGCAATGGCTTGGATCTTCAACACCATATGGAAAACTCCGAATAGCACTGGAGATGGAACTGTTTGACTTTCCTGGGCATCCTCAGGAAGTTTTGTTAAGTATGAGAATTGCCATAAGCCGTTTGTAGAAACATTTAATCAAATTCAGAATGCCACAATCATAATTTGGTGAGATTTAAAGAAGTCACGAATGAGCACTGTGTTTCATCATACGATGCTTTTGTTGTGTTAGCAGGGTCATGTGATCTCTTCCAACCCTGATATGAATTTGAACCACATGAAGAAGTTGTCAATATTTGAGGAGCTTTCTCCTACAAAAATGACAATTTCATATGGGTTGTCTAACAACATTATCGCTTATTCTTTTTTTAAAATATTAGTTTATTATTCAAAAGGCAGAGTGACAGAGAGAAATGAAAAGAGAGAAAGAGAGAGAGAGAGAGGTTTCATTTGCTGCTTCATAGCCCACATCAGCAGAGGTTAGACCAGCATGAAGCTAGGAGCCAGGAACTTAATCATGGGTCCCCCACATGGGTGGCAGGGACTCAAATACTTGGGCCATCATCCTCGGCTTTCCCAGGTACATTAGCAGGAAGCTGGATCAGAAATAGCAAAGCTGGGATCAAACCAGGCACTCTGATGTGGAAGGCAGGCATCCCAGGGGCGGCCTGAACCAGCAGCCACCACAAAGTCAGCTTTTCCTGCTGCTGACACGTCCTTACCTTCCTGGAATCAGGCCTACTTGGTCCTCTCTGTTTTCATACACAGCCAGATTCCAGCTGATACTGCATCTGGGATCGATGATCCGATTGATGAAGGACGCACATACGTAGGACTGGCCAACTACTTTCTGCCACCATTTAAATTTTTATTTTAATTATAAATTGTCAAATTATAGTTGCATATATTTTGGGTGTACAAAGTGACATTATGGTTTATGAATGTAATGTGAAATAATTAATCAAATTAGTTAACATATCATCATCTTCTATCATATCACCTTTTGGGGTGGTAACATTTGAAATTTACTCTCCTAGTGATCTTGAAATGTACAAAAAATTATTATTTACTATACCCACCAGGTTGTGCAATAGATCTTAAGAAAAAAGCTCGCTCCTCCCCGCC